ATGTCTAGAAAATGGACTCTACAGAGGTCTAGAAGGATGCAGTTACTACTATGACTACTACTGCTGACGACACCTGAGTTGCACAATCAAATTCAGATTACACTCATGATACACAATGATATATAACATGTGTAGCCTAAAGGTGCTGGGTATTTGGTAGGCATTTATTATAATAATAATAATATTAACAGCTTTATTTCAAACAGTATTTGTAGTACAGGTATGGAATTTTCAGCGTCCATTACAGTATATTGCATCTAATTACTTCATAAATTATATAAGATTTTTGAAATCAAAAAATAAATAAATAAAAACCAACGCCAAAAAATAAAAGATAAATAAAAATAAAAAACAAACAGCGTAGAGTTTACATTTCAAACAATGCACCACAGGATATGAAATATAAAGTTGATGTGCAATAGAAGATGACAACAAGAGTGTAATAGTAACGAGGAAAGGAAAACAAAAGCTAATGGAACTATTTGTTGATCGTGTCATATCTAACGGATTTCTTATCACATAACAGTTGTGCCAGATATGGTATTGTGGAGTTTTTGTACTTGGTAGTTCTAGCATATAGCCAGCCTCCTATAGCTGCTTATATTGTCAACACGTGTCGATATCACTTAGAGAACCATTGGAAACCATAGAATGCTTTTCGCATATTATGATGTAGCTTTGCACTTCACCTCAATACCTATTCATCGCTCTACTTGAAACCTACAGACTACAGATTACAGGGAAAGCTCACTGACCATTATTGACTTGGATAAAAAATCAAACGGCTGACACATGAATTCTGACTTCGGACAATACTGGGCAAACAGCTCCACTGACAGTCAATGTTACTCGAGACTTCGAGTTCATGAACACACTCACTCACATATAATATAGAAAAGGGTTTCTGATAAGAACACCACACACTCCAACCTACTGCATATCAATGGTGATTTGCAGAGGGATATGACTGAGTTGAAGTTAGATGATGAACTGATTGATGACACAGTTACAAGATCAGACGTTGAAATCACCAGAGAGTACTGGACAGTAGCAATTTCGTCTTCCCCACCTTGTGACTGACTATTCAATAGCAAGCATCCATTGATGTAGTATTTAATAATTGTGTGCGTCGGTGGCACAGTGGTTAGGACTCTCTCCGACCATGCACATGGTCCGAGGTTCGATCCACTGCCGGCGCACACCTGATATCTACTGATGACCTGGAAATTTTGGACTACCGATATCTACGCTGAAAATTCCATACTTGTACCAAAAATAAAGTGTGGAATCAATCTGTAATCAAAAAAAAAAATAAATAAAAAATAAACTTTCCTTCACTTTAAACGCTGTCTATTATATTTCCAGATTAGTTCTAGTAATCCATATTAAGGTTTGCCTCTCATCAATTAATTATCTATGATTCTGGTAAACTATATCTTCTGTCTGCATTATTGTTTACACTGGTAGATTAATTAATCCCCAGGGGAAATTCTGATCATAAATAACCAGTTCAACTGAATTATTTATACAGAAATATATTTTGTGTTTTTAACCGTTTAAATATATCCAGTTAGACATTCTGGCAATGTTGACAGCCTTCATGTTGTTATTGCAATAATTACTATTATTCCTAATCATTCCCTGAGTTGTGAGTAGAATTATAAACCTACGTGGTTGTCTGTCACCACCTTCAACTGACTTGACAACTGGCCAGTCACACACTCAGTGGCAAGTGCATGCTCTCATTTCTCGTTCACATCGCCTTCTTATATGTCACGTTAGGACTTACACCTTACTTGTCACTTACTTCCTATTTCGGTTCTGATCAACTATCTGACTGACGGGTTGTGGACTTTCACCTTGGTGTATCTCTGTAATTCATCCGTCCATCCACCCAGCCAACCAGCCGTCCATTCATCTGAATTTTCTTCTTCATGTTTTTTTAGCTGGGAGATAGATTACTGGCTGGTTCGTTAACACAGAAGTTCCCCGTTAGAAGCCTATCCTTTTAAGGCTGGCATCTGGTCCTTACTGCCAAGCAAAGGCAGCTACTGTTTGGGGTCTGCATTTGCCTTTTGAAAGCATACATAAGCACTCATGGGTTTGGCATTAGTAGGGAAGAACCGAATCTTGTTCCTTGTGCCGAGTGAAGTAAATTTCCACAATGACTTCAGAATACTGAATATCTGTCTTTCTCTTCCCACCGGTTTGGGTTATTCTGTTAATTAGTAATGTAAGAAGCTTAAGTGAATAATGCCAACATGACGGATAGGTTTTAATAAATACTCGGGTTTACAAAAAAAAAACAGCACACACCCACGTCCATAGTGGTGATTGTGTTTTTTATTTCTAATTCATCGGAGGCCGTGTGTCAGTGAGATGTTTAGCTGATGATGATGAAGACGATAGGGGATAATAGAGGAAATCTATGACAGGAAACAAGACGTAATTATAAGAATAGAACTATAAGCACTATGATGTACAGTCTAATTCCGTCATGGGATAATTATTGAGTGATAAAACAGTAACAAAGTGGTTGATATAGTATTACTTTATTTATTAATTGAGCTTTTGGCAAAAGTTATTGTTCATAATCATAACAAAATGCTCACTCAAACAACTTAAAAACTTTGTTTATATAGTGTCAACATTTCTCATGCTTTGGTTTTTATGGTATTAATATTTTTCATATCTCTGATATGGGTGTGTGGCATCATTTCTACTGTGTGTGCTTTGGTATGTATATGGGGGGGGGGGGAAGAATCAGTATTCACAATCTCAACCCCCACACTTACCTGTATTACTTTTTAGAACAGTAGCTCTGTCCTATCGTATTGTTTGGTTGTGTTTATTGATGCATTCATTGGATTTGCTAAGTGTATTCCCAAGCAAACCATGTCTCTTTGGGTCAGTCACTCTACATCGCAAATCGTCTACAGAGCACCTAGGACTCTTATCAGAAAGCAAACAAATTGAACTGTTTTTAAACCTTAGAAGCTAGGGGCAAAACAAAGGCTAAATAGTAGACTCAGCCAGTGAACTAACCAACACATTAAGTCTAATTTGTCCCATTGTTGATACACTTTTACTTCTTCTGCTACTGGTCTCAGGTTGGCTGTCTTTCGATTCTCAGTGTTGAGCTCCTCATATAGTGAATTCCGTCAATGAATTACTTTAAGGCTGTTTAATTTTACTTTAGTTCCTCTCTACCTTACTAGTGTCTCCTTATATTACGCAATTTGCTTTTAGAATCTCATTGATTGTTACGTGAAAAACAGGGAAGAATTTTAGTGTCAAATTTCCAGAAGCATTCTCTTCATTGTTATGATATTGTGACTGCAATCTCTAGGTTGAGTGATGTAACTGTGAAGCTCTCGGTGTTCTTTTAAACAACACCACTACAGAGTAAACTTCACTATGGAGCATGAACTTAATTGAAATCCTCATGAATGATACAGCTGTATCACCAGACAATCTTTGGCATGAATGGTTATGAATTCGCACCTGTATTTGTCATTTTCTTATTGACTTGTAATTTGTCTTTCTTGTCATATGGCTTATTAATTATTAGTCATTGTGTTTGATCTATAGTGATGTATGTGTCAACCACTGATTCATCTGAATATCAGGCTTCTGGAAATTCTCTGGAACTTGTTTAGTGTTGTCACTGTGTAGTAGTAGTGCTTATCAAAGATTTATGAAAATTATTTTGTACATGATGATCTTGTCTTCTTTCGTTGGATGGGTCTCTTGGTATACATAATACTGAATGAAGCGATTGTCTTCAAGAGTTTGTTTGTAGGGATTTGATTTGTTCCACGATTGATCACGGATTGATGTCATTTATAGGAACATTGAGAACAAGGGAGTACTGGGCAACTGTTTTGTTCTAGTGCTTGGAACTCATCGGCAGTACCCACTCACTGGGTTTAGAGTCTGGGTCATTCAGTCGGGTCCCAGTGGCTAAATGGCCAATAAGTCGGTCTTGTGAAGCAAGTTCCTGGGTCAGAAACTCTATGGCTGGGTACTGTCGATGAGTGCCAAGCACTAGGATGAAACAGCAGCTGTCCAGTATTCCCTGGTTTTCAGCAGTTCTCTAACTGATATCAAACCGTGATCAAAGTTGTAGTGATTGCGTTGGTTTGTGTGCTCAAGATATCTATTCCGAGTGGTTACTTTAGAAACATACTTTATGTATGGTAGGATGAATAGTTTTGGTGGTTTCTTACTGGGAGTTTGATTCGCATTTAGACAACTTTTGATGAAATTATAAGGGTATACATTTTTCTTGAAGACAGTTGTTCTCCTACTGATGTCAGCTCACGATGAAATCCTTCATCCAATCAAACAAAATCCCTACAAAGCCAATACTCGGAAATTGATCTGTTGCTCACACGCGACTGGCCCTATTCAGGCAGTGACCTGGGGTTCTAGTCGGAAGTCATGGCCAGAAGGATACAGCAGGTTGGAGGTGAGCCAGTAACTCATCGGCGAAGACATTGCGAAGTGGTCGCGCAACGTCATGAATTGGCCGATAGTTGGAATTCATGAATTGGCCATTGGATCCTGTTCCAGTGGCTTAATAGTTTACGAGCTCGCCTTGTAACCAGAAGGTTTTGGATTCTAACCCTGACCGTGGGTGAAGAGTCCCGAACTAGCACTAACACAGTCGTTCACTACTCTCAGGTTTTCCCGTGGTCCTCTAACTGATGTCAGTTCATGATTCAATCCTCCGAACAATAAAAACAAAATCCTTACAAAAAACCAGTACTTGATAATAAATATATATCTCTTCTATTCTTCTCAGAACTGGGCGGTTGTAATATTTTTTTCAGCTCTATTGAATAATGTTTATTATATATATATACAGTTTGTTTTAATGTGCTGATGAATCCCAAATAGGGTGTAACACGTATACAGGTAACATTATACTTCCAAATCAGATATTTAAATATTTCAGTGGTATTTCTGATAAGCATATACTATTTTTTTTTATGCAGGTAAACTACCTACATGAAAAATTAACAAATATAACTGATAACGCAAATGTATGTATGAGCACAAAGTCACCAGTGACGCATACTTATGAAAATCAGATGAGTTTAAACAAATTCAATGGTTCAATGGAACAAAAACAACAACAACAACAAGGGCGTGGTTCTTTACTATCTACTCAACAACAACAACAACAACAAGAAAAATTTCAACAGAATAATGATAATATAAACTTTCCCTTGGAAAAACAATCAACTTCATCTATCACTTCAGTTGATACAACAACCCAATTCAATTCGCTATTGACACCTTTAACGAAGAATGATGTTCAGTTAAGTTTAAATCATCAAAATAGTTTACATTCTAAGAACATTTCATTATCTATGGAGGGAAATTTAAATTGTGAAAATCAATATTCTTTCAACAGAATACACAGAGATAATAAGCTACCATATGAATTAACCCCTGTTGTTGAAGAAAAGCCAACAGTTTTCAACTTTCAATACAATGATAGTGTGTCAATGACTCACAGATGTAATGATAATGATAATGATAATAATAACCGTGTGAAGCAAACTTCTCAAAACAAGGAATCAGAGGAAACGTGTATAACCTTAGTACAGAGTGATCAGAGCTTACTATCTGACCAGTTGTATGTAGTTGATGGGATTAAGCCAGAGGCAGCAGGTTCGAACGATGGGAAATGTCAACAGGTATGGTAGATCATCTTTCTTGATTGGTTAATTCATAATGTTTTAAACAACTGCGATTAGCGAACACATAATATTCTTCACTATATATCTTCATCTTCATTTATGTTGTAATTAACTTTCAGTCACTAAGAGCAATAGATTAAAGTTCAAAATATCCTGTAGATGATAGTATACCTTAGAAAGTAATATTAAACTGAATATATGAATTTATGGATTTGTAGGTCCCACAGCAGGCCACGGGTAACACAATAATAGTTGGACTTTTTTCTTTTGCACACACACACACACATTCACACGCATACAGTTCCAGTTGTGTTCAGATGAATTCCAATAGCTTCCTGTGTTTCCAATATTCAGCATTTGGAGGCTTTTCGTGAATTCTTCAATACTCAACAGTTCTTCAATGCTAGATTTAGGACAAGTAGTTTTAACTACTCGACACTGGTAGGTATTCCCCTGCACAAAAAAACTGAGTTTCTTAGAGTGACAGACAATATAACTGGTTGCAAAAAAGCAGCTGAATTTATAATATACAAGAAGGGGCTAGCTAGCTTAGGTACTTCGTCAGTCAGTTCGAGGTACGAATATAGATTACAAGAGCCTTAGAAATTATACAGGGTTACAACGGATTACAGGTGTATAGAAATTGAGCACGGAAAGAAAAATTGCAATAATAATTTTAACTTGAAATGAAAGTTAGGAGGTGTGAGTATAGATTACAAAAGCCTTAGAAACACAAAAATTGCACACAGTTTACAGTTTACAATTTATTTAGGATGGTAGGCTATATGCCTGTGTTAATCCTTTCGATTTATTGCATACAGGAGGTCCAATCTCGCCTTGAATGAATCAACGGATGGCGCTGATACGACATGTTCCGGTAGGGAGTTCCAATGGTTCACAATTCGATGCGAAAAACGGATTTCCAGACGCAGACGATTCGACCGTGATTTTTGAACCTTGAGGTGATATCCTCGCAATTGTTTGGTGCTAGAAGGAAGAAATAATTTAGATAAATTAGCTCCAAAATCATTTCTTAGGATACGGTTGGCTAGTATTAGGTCACCCCTAAGTCGTCTGTATGACAGTGGAAATAAACCCAGTCGACTTAACCTCTCCTCATATGACAGGGTTTAGAAACACTTTATTAGCTTAGTTCCTACTCTTTGCACCCTTTCTAATAAGTCTATTTCGTATTTGAAACAAGGGTTCGCTGCCTGGATCCCATATTCCAAATGAGGTGTGACATAAGTCGAATATAATATACGAAATATATCAGCGTCAAAGTTCGCAAAAGCCTTGCGTATGGTCCTTAAAATTCGAAAACCCTTAGTGGCTGCAGTTCTACAGTTTGTTGCTGTTTTCAAGTCATGCTGCACAACCACTCCCAAGTCCTTGTACTCAGTGACCACTGGGAGAGTAATGCCATTCATTGAGTAATTGTGCACGTGACTATGGGATACATGCATAACTACACTCTTGCTTAAGTTAATCTCCAAGGCCCAGTGCTTACACCAATCACTTAACAAGTTTAAATCTTCCTGCAAAGTAAGTTGATCACTGTCATCGTGCAAAGCCCTCCATATCTTGATGTCATCAGCAAACAGTAAGCAGGATGACTTAACTACCGATGGAATCTCATTAACATAAATCGGGAAAAGAAGTGAGCCTAGAATTGTACCCTGAGGAACGCCACTCTTAACCGATTCCCATGTTGATAAAACCCCGTTAACTCGTACTCTTTGTCTTCTGTCCTTTAGAAAGTCTTGAATCCAGTCGGTAACCACTTTATTGATTCCCAGACTACCTAACTTTACTAGAAGACCTGAATGAGAAACCCTGTCAAACGCCTTGCTAAGGTCTATGAATATGGCATCCACCGGTATATTAGCATCAGCTGAGCTTGCCCAACTTTCTCGATTAAGATATAATTGTAAATTAGTTATTTTCAACGAATTATAAATGCGAACAGGAAAAGCATGGAAACAAGCTTAAAATAACTGTTTTTATAGTTAAAAAAATGGGGGTGCACTGAATGAAGACTGAGGGAGTAAGAATCACACACAGCGAGCGAAAAAAGATCAAAAAGAAAAAAGTGAACGAAAGAAGAAAAAAAAACGGAAGCTAAGGGAACATACCGAACTAGGCCCATGGTAGTTGTAGAGGCCGGACTAATTTCTTTTTAACACACAGCTCTGGCTTCTTGATGCATATTGCGGGGGCTTCTGCAGTACAGAGAAGTCGGAAACATACTGCCTTTGGTAGGTTTCTGTTGACTTTGTAAATTATTTTGAAAGAATCAGTTGAGATGTTGTGGTGTTGATCAGAGGTCCAATAATGGCACTTCTGATTGGACCGGTGCCTCCTCTTTGCAGCCATGCTGGGTAATGTTCTCTATGACGTTTTGAAAGGACGCACATACAACGACCTATATACATAGCTCCACACGAACAGGTGAAGTGGTATATACACATATGCGAGAATTTGTCCTTTGCGTTGTTTCGAAGTATTGGACGGCTAGAGAATGTCACTCTTAGTGTTGCTGCAGAGAAGGTTTTCTTTAAAAAGCTGGATATTCTCCTCTACGAGATATCGGCTGCCAAATATCCCCTGAAATTCAGATTCAGATACAGTGTTTTCTTTGGAACTGAATCTCAAGTTTCTTTTCGACAAAAAGTGTCTGTTGATTGCCTGTTCATAGTTTAAATTTCGGTGGATGTATAGACGATAGATATCCGGTATTGTGGACAACAGAGTTGATGTCACAGTTAAATCAGACTTCTGTGTGTATCTCAGTGTGTTTTGTGTTGTATTGTGTGTGTGTGTGTGTGCGTGTGCATGTGGAGAGGGGTTGGGGAATATTTTCCATTGAAGTGATCAGTTGTGTAAGGGTGTATTTTTGTAGTCAGAGATGACCAACAACCAACAAATCACTAACAAACACTCCTTTAGATATGATAGAGAAGATTTGTAGCTCAGGTGGATGATTTTGATGTGGTTTTGTTCTCTGAGCTGGATGGTTAGTTTGCGAAGCTTTCATCACCTTACTGGGTGATATCTTCAGCGCATACTTCAATTTGAAGTGAGCTTTTAGATTTCTCCACGACTTCTCCACAACCAATCACGTCCAAGGTGGTCACCAGGAGAGATGATTAATAAACTCGTGGAGAAATCTAAAAGCTCCCTTCAAATTGAAGTATGCGCTGAAGATGTCACCCAGTAAGGTGATGAAAGCTTCGCAAACTAACCATCCAGCTCAGAGAACAAAACCACATCAAAAAACACTTCTTTACAAAACATTTGACTATATATTCCGTCTTACTCAACACTGATGTGTTGAGTAGGTTATAATAATACAATTGATTGGCCTACTTCAAATCTATTCTTTGCTAGCATTATTTTAACAAATAATTTCATACATCTGAGTATTCATGTGCTTTGTAAAGAATAAGAAATAAGGAAGGATTCAGGGAATGAAGGAAGCAGTAATCATTGGTAATTAATAATAATAATAATAACAGAATCTGCTCAGTTAGATTATGCCTTAATAGAAACACACATCTTTTTTCCGAAAAAATATAAAGAAATAGTGTCTCTGTAGAATACACGCCCTCTTCGTATTTGATTTCCTCCTATTTCTTTATTTGAAAAACTGCTAGACAAAATAAAAAAATAAGCAGGCTCCCAGTATAATTGCATGCAGAGAAGGACAGATGGGAAGTTAATTAAAGAATTTATTATTTCATTCACTTATTCATTAATTATGTAGGCGGAAGCAAGGACAAAAAGACTAAATGAAACAGTCAGTCAGGTATTCAATTATTAATTTAGTTTAACTGAATATATATATATATATATGTATATATTAAATATTTATTATTATTATTATTATCCCCTTGGGTTCCGATTTCAAAAATAGAGACTTGTCAGTAAATCTTCATATCATCCAATTTTCTGCAACCGTCTTTATCTAACCCCAGGGATTTCTCATAAGCTGTCACCTCCTCCTCACATGTTCTTGTCCATATCACCGTGTAAACGAAGCCTAGCTTGTCATCCACCCAATTCGAGTTCTACCCGAGAATCCACTTGGCGCTTGATATCATTCAGCACTCTACTAAGCTTATATCTAGTCCACTTACAATTTCTTCCACCTATTTGTTAGACGATTAATTCTTGGTTAGTTTCTCTTGTTGTTTATATTTTGTGGTTTGGTTATCCGATTTTCAAGATTTTAGGCAGCGAGATTGGCAACCTAATGATGGAAGTTCAAAGCAGCCTCTTGAAAATGTTTTTTTCCACCAATGCATCAGGCCTATGAACCATATAAAAGGATTCACTGGCTTGACATTAATGTTGACAATCCGCAATTTTTTTTCCCTATGCTGACTACTGTAGATTTCCATACCGCTTTTAAAGCGCTGTGAAGGTCTGTCTTGATTTCTTGATGTTGACGGGCTTTGCCACCTATATAGTTGAAATGATGCTGACTAGATAAATGAAAGTTATGACTCCATTGTTGGGGTGATTGGAGCTTCTTGTTGTTGTTGGTGAAGTATTTTCAGTATCTCTGTCTTCTCTAAGTTCATCTGAAGTCCTGCCTTCTCTGGTGGTTCTCCTACAGATATATATACATATATATATAATTGTTAGTATCGCCTTAAAAGACTGAGTTTTGTAAACACAAAATATTCTCTTTGATAACTTCTTCATCGGGTTCCACAGTTATATGTCCACAATAATTAAACAATCAGAATAAATAACAGCACTAATTTTGTAAGTAGCATCGGTTCACTAAAAGCAATAGATTACAGTTCAAAAGTATCTCTGAGTCATAATACAGATAATTACAACACTAAGTTGAAAATCGGATAAATTAGATAAAAAATAATGGAAAATCTATGAATTTTTAAATTTCACAGGAGGCCATTGTAGCAAAAGTGGTTGGACTTGTTTCTTTTCCACACACACAGAGCTCTGGTTGCTGTTTTTGGAGCATCGCAACAGCCCTTGGCCTATGGATTATTCCATACCTAGAGGCTTTCAGCAATTTATTCACTACTCGACAGATGGTAAGCCTGTTTACATCAGGTGGTCTGATATCAAGCTGGAAGCTCCTAGGTTCGTACTGCTGAAGAGTCCCAGACTAGGACGGAACAGCTTTAAAAAAACTCGCATGTTTTCCAGTGGTTCTCTAACTGATGATGTCAGCTCATGATGAAATCCTCCATCCAATTAAACAAAATCCCTACAAAATCAATAATTGAAAATAATATCAAACTGTTGATAGTTTTTCATCACCATATTGGCAGGGGGTTACCTAGCCTGTCATATGCTCTGATGGTGTTCTCGTGACTTTTGTTGCCAGATCTGCCAAGGGCGATGGATAATACGCCACCTAATGGTTGTGTGCAAGGTTTGAAGAAGGCTGTGTGAGCTATATGCATGCGCCTCGCCCTGATAAAAAACCTCGCCAGATTACTAGCTTGCTAGGCTACTAGCTTACTAGTTTTCTCGCCGGTCCCAAGCCCGGGTAAAGAGGGAGGGTTGGGGCGTGGTGCTAGCAACTCCACCCCTGTAAAACAACCAAATCGCTACAGAAACTTCAACGAATAAATATATTAAAAATTCTAAAAACATAAGCAATAGCCTTACTTTTCGCTGGAATCGGGGAAGTGAAATGACGCAGGCTGGTGAAAGCCTTCGGGAAGCCAGTCAGCCGATGTGCCTTCTTTCGATGAAAGCAAAAGTAAGGATGGGTACCTGGAATGTTC